CCGGTGCCGTGGTTACTGGGTTTGCGGCTGGATACGAGAATGTTGTGCATGGTTGGTGTCTTTCCAGACGCAGCAATTGCGCCGGTGGGTAGAGCCCGGCGGCGGACTTATCGCTTTCGAAGCCCGATTCTATTCGCGCAAGGAGGCGGTGAACATATTCAAGTGTCCGTGAGAGATGCTGCTATTCTTGGCTCGTGCAACGGCCCGCTGCGGAGGGGGATGGGAAGGGGAGACAGGGAGAAATGCGCAGGTCACGCCAGGTGGCAATGTCGAGAAGGTCGATCGAGTATGCCATTCTTTCGAAAGCAGGCGCTTTCCCACCACTGGTGCCTTTTCTCCGCCTCGACATCCGCGCACACCGTGTGGCAGCAAGAAAAAGGTGCTTCGAAAGCTGAGGCTCGTGGCATCTTTGTAAATGATGTCGTTCCTGCCCCTCGTGTTATCGTCCCAAGAGAGCGCGCCAAGGATGTTTGGCATGCCGGAGAAAGGTGTAAACGTGAAGGCGATACCGCCGAAGATTTTGTGATTAGGGCACGCTGAACGTGAGTGCAAGAACAAAGCGCCGCCCATGCTGTACGCAGCGAAGGGCGCACAACGTGGGGCACCGAGGGTTGGTTCAGGAGATGAGGCGTTGAGGTGCTCGAGAAATGCTGTGAGCTGCATGTTGGTTGGTTGAAGTAACAGTCGTTGGCCGTTGCTGAAAGCAATGACCTTTTGCGAACCCTTCGCGCTGCCTTTGGTGTTGGCTGACGGGTGCTTTTCGAAACGCCGCTTGAGGCGCCCTTCCATGTTGGTCAAGTTCCACAAAGCGGTGCATCATGGACGATGTGTAGATCGGTGAACGTCCAGCCGCGCCTTCATGCGCAGATGCAGGTACGGCATTGTAATCTACCGAGTCGTCCAGCGGCACCTCGATGGATGCATCGCACCAACTCATGCCGGTCTTCAAGCCTATTTCGAAGGATGTGTAGCTGTGCTCACCGTCAGTCCAAACAAGGTCGGTACATCACTACACGCCAATCCCGATGCCCGTCTCTAAAATGGAGCAGAATTTTTTGCCCGTATTTAGTGAGCGCAGTGCTGACCCGCGATTGTCGCCGGGATAAACGCAGGTCCATCGTAGCCGTCGATCGGTGCTCGAGCTACTCAGCGGCATCAACCTTCCTCTCCCTCTCTGAACGCTTCTTTTGCTGTGGAAAAGTCACCGCGTGATCAGCGAGCTTGCCAGTGCTGATGCCAACGTTGGAGTAATGTCGTGTTAGAGTGGCTGAGCCAGGTATTCTGGATTGCCTGGTTCGGCGCGGGGTTGCGCCATAGCGGATGTATGAACGCGTCTTATGATACTTGCGTCTGGGAGGGGCGCCAGGGATATATCGAGTGGTGAGAATCGTTCACAGGAATGTATTGAGTGTTGGAAATTGAAGAGGCATGGGATAAAAGCGCCTTGGCGCATGTCAGATCGTATGAGGTCTTGTAATCATGGCGTGAGGAGGCCTGAAAGATGAGGAAGAGGGGGGGGGGGTCTGCGCATGTCCTGCTTCATGCAGTGTGGTTGGAGAGAAGCTGTCCAAATCAGCCTCTGTGATGAGGTTAGAGGCATGTATAGACTTTGGATGGGTCATCAAATCCGCCACTACCGAGCTGCCCCCCAATGTCCATGAACCATTCTTCATTGCGAACAAGCGGACGCGTTTCCTTTGTTTGGGTTTCCCATCTTCGGTGTCTCCAGCGCATCCGCGGCGAACCTTGACTCTGCGCTTATTCTCCTGCTTGTCCATGAACCCTTTTTCGTTTCTGTACATGACGCGGTGCATCTGTTCTACCTCGTGGCCAAACACATCCCGATCTTCGGCTTCGTTTGCATGACCATTGCGAAGAAAGTGCACATACCACTAATTGAGGCGGAGCTCAAGCGCGACACCGTCTTCACTATGCGTCCCCGCGTAATCGCCGTGCCGAAACGGCTCGAACAGGAAGCGATCCGTGATTGCTTGTGGCGCTGTCGACGACGTCATCGTCATTCAAGCCTTGAAGCGTTTTTAACGAGTCTATCCTTTGTGTATCGGAGCAGGCTGTGTCAAGATGGCCTAACGCCGATCGTTGAAACTTGCGCTGAAATACGGCGCTGCTGTCATGCAAGCTGGTGCGCTGTTGCCTTTGAGATGCCGCCGGTTCTCCGGCTTGGCCGAGCAGTGGGTGCTACATCATGACCTTGATCTGGAGGTGCCCATCCTCGGCTGAGCGAAATGGACGGAGCTAAAGTGCGGACATTGCACCGAAGAAAACTATTTGGCGCTAGTCTGCACACTGTCCGGACTAATCAGGCGCGGCTGTCAAAACTCTCATCATCCTCGTTGGAGCTTAGGGATTGTGTGACGCACGTGGTTATGCGATTGTCGAAGCTTTTGAAGACGAGCTCTTGGTGCCTTGGGCGTCGTGCTTCTGCCTTGCATAATCCATGATTAGGCGGCGTCGTTAGATCACCGCAGACAAGCTCTTCCATCTCGCAGAGGAGACTTAAAGGGCTTTGGCGTGTGTGCTTTCCTTCAGTTACGACAATCATCCCCGCCATCATTGTGCCCCTGCACCCATTGAATCACTGGAGCCTGAAGCTGATGGATGCCCAGCGCGATCGTGAACTTGGAGCGAAGCGGACGAAAAAGCTGGTGCCAGAAGTTCAATCACAGCCCTTGTCAAAGGTCTTCCTACACCCGCTCGGTTGGACGCGTGAGAGCGGCGTGACCGTCCCCCAGGCGAGATGCCTGCCAACGATGTCGGGCCTTCGCTCTACGACTCTCCGCAATGCACTATCCGTCCAATCCAGCTATATGATGCGGTTCCCAGCGCGCCTCTGCGCATGGAAAGACCAGATGCTGTTCAAACAATCGCCAGAGGAAAGCAGAGGGAAGATGCACGACGCGAGAAGTCCCAGAAAAGCCTTCGCGAAGTTCCTGTTCCCAATCTTGATTTTGTCGATCTGAGCTACGCGACCGCGTTTGCTGCCTGCTGCGCAGTGGCGGATAAGACAGGATTCTCCTACGTTCACAAAGGAAGTACATCACGGAACCCAATCCTGATAGACTCTGAATCTCCACCTGCATTGCATGCAAAATGTTGCGAAGCTATATCGACACGAGTAGAGGCTTCGTCCGCACGCAGGAACAAGGGAATAGCTGTGGGCAACAAATGCTCGAGCTCAAGGCGAGCGACATCGACCAAGGAGGTTCTGGCGCAGCACCACCCGCAGTTACCTGTAAACAAGCGTAGACGCGTGGAAATCGACCTATCATCTGCGCTCAGCACTCCCTCCATCTCGTCAACGCCAGTTGCTTCCACTTCGATTCAACCAGCACATTGCGGCTCAGGGTCAGAGGATGAACTCACCAATCATGCCGAGGTCAGCGTTGAAGAGGCTGCAATGAACAGAAAGTTCCGGGCGAACGAAGCCGGCTTCACGCTGGTGGACACACGCTTGGCCTACCGGATCGAAGCGCAGTCGTGTGATGTGCAAGAATTTGCCGCTCTCCATCAGCTTCTCGCCCTTGAAGAAGGGCGGGGAACGGCGCTCAGGGTTTCGCTGAGCGCTTCTAAAAAGCTCTCCAAGGGCCAAGACGACCAAGATCCGGTTGCTCTCGAAGGGGACGAAGCAGCAGCTGGACATGCGCATAGTCCGCTTGCCAACAGCACGTTGCACGCCTACCTTGCTGATATCACCGGCTGTGTCCCTTATTCCACGGCTTCCGCCGCGCAGCCTCCTTTCTTGGCCACGCTTCCACTGCTCAACAGTTCGCTGCACAACCCGACTCCGCGTGGCCTGACGAATGGCACGTGGGTACTGGCAGCGCTGCGCCTTCATGCCCAGGGACGAGTCAGGCTCGAAGCTTCACTGGCTCGTTTCGAACCTCAAGACAGGTATGCAGATGAAAGCGGCAGCGATCAAGCTGAAGAAAATGAATGCCTTGACTTCTGCCTCCATATCAAAGTGGATGTTTTGCAGGCTGCCTTCAGCAAGGCAAGCGACTGTCGCGTTGCAAGGGATACGCTTGACGTCTTGAGATTTGCCGCTGGGCTGCCGCAGCGATGCACTACGGAGCAAGCCCGTAATGAGCGGGAGACGTTCTCGGCATTGCAGGAGACGGTCGCAGTGGAGGTTGATAACGATGCTACAGAAGACGCGGATGAAGATGCAGAAATACTGCGCAAGACGCCCCCGGATGCGTCGCTCGTGTACGAATCGATGCCGAGTCCCAGCCGTGCTTTAGATTACGGTGCTACGATCCTGCAGCACCCCGACCTTGTCCCGACGCTCCTCCCGTTCCAACGGCGCAGTGTCGGATTTCTGCTTGGGCGCGAGGGCAAGAGGTTTGAAGTTGCAGGGAAAGATGGTCAGTTCGAGCTTGTCGAAGCGAAGGGGATCATGACCGCACGCGGTACAGTGCCGCTCGGCTTTTGGTATGAAGAGGTGTTCTTGTACGCACTCCCTGGGGAGAGGCTGTTTTTCGACAGCATGTACGGCTGCTTTACGCATGACGAAGAGGCTGCTGCAAAGAGGGATGTCAAGGGTGGTATCCTTGCGGAAGAGATGGGTCTCGGAAAGGTGCGTGCCTTGCATTCGACTCGTGTTTTCATAGTATTCTGATTTCATTGCTTGCTGTTTAGACCGTAGAGATCATTGCTCTTATTCTCCACAACCCAGCGCCGGCGTCGCATACCAGCGCACCGGCTTACTACAATGCTCCACTCGAGTTGCACGTTACTCCGGTCAAGGCGACGCTGATAATCGCGCCCGAGACGCTCCGGGAGCAATGGATCGAAGAGATGGCGCGACATGCCCCCTCGCTGACGGTCTACAGCTTTCCTGGACACGTACAAGCCGCCAAAGACGTCGTTGCTTTTGCGAGAAAATGCCAAGAGGCTCCGTCTCCGGCGCCAGCAGGCGGATCGGACAGCGCCAAGGAGAACGGCATCGGATGGGTCGATTTTGCGCAGCGCTTTGATGTGATCATTGTTTCCTTTCCAGTGCTTTCGCACGAGCTGCACACTGCACGAACGGCACCGGAGAGGAGTAGAAGAAAGGAGCGCAAGTATGAGCGTCCGAGAAGCCCACTCATCCAGCTGGAGTTTCACCGCGTGTGCGTTGATGAGGTGCAGCTGTTCTCGAAAGGGGCCATGCTCAACCAGGCTTTCCAGACGGTGTCGATGATTCCCCGCCAGTCGAGCATTGCCGTCTCGGGAACGCCTGTCAAGATGATCCGTGATCTGCAGTCTATGTCGCAATTCCTGCGAATACCGGGCTTCGAGCTCGCCCACGCCACAGAGCACCTCGTTTCGGCGCGAATGAAGCCGCAGTTGATCAGGATGCTGCGCCTGCTGAGCACACGCCAGACTAAGGACAACGTGAGCGAGGAATTGGCGATTCCTAAGCAGATTCGCCAGCTTGTCCCAGTCAACTTCACCAGCATCGAGAGCGCATTCTACAAAGATCAGTGGAACCTTGGCCTCGCCGAGCTCGGCCTCCGCGACGATGGGAGCAAGGTCAGAGAGACGATGGAGCTAGACCCGCCACTCATGCGCGACATTCTTTCGCGTCTGCGACGCGCCTGCACGCACCCGCATATTGCGATGCGAAGCGTGAGGAACACGCTAGCGTACGGTGCAACATTCAATCTGCGCTCCATCGATGACGTACTTGATCTAATGCTCGAACGCACGCGCGCGGACTGGTACCGGACGCGTCTCGGCCTCGTGTCCAAATCGATCGACAGGGTCTCACTGATGCTTCAGAACAAAGATGATGGTGACCGACACCTCAAAGCGCAAGATACACTCGAGACACTGAAAGAAGAATGCACAGCAACTGTGGCTGAAATTGAGGCTACCCTTGACCAAGCGCGGCTCAGGGGCCCTCTCTATCGGTTCACAGAGGACGAGGTCGCACAGGCCACTAGCAGACGTGGCGAGGAGGCCGAATCGGAGGAGACTGAAGCTCTCAGGGCAAGGAACCTTCATATGCGCGATGTTCAAGGGCGCTTACGAGGTGTGAGTTTTGTGCCGTGCCGGTTCTGACATGTGCTCACAATGCAACTCTTGATAGTGGCTTGAACAACTGCATCGCACATACCAATTCCTTGGAAATACTTGTTTTCAAATTGGAGAGCTCCTCAATGCGTCTGGAGGGAGCTCCGCACCGGGCGGGCAAAAGGAAAAGCTCAAAGAGCGGGAGAATGAAGCATACGATGCTGCGGAGAGCGTTCGGCAGGAGCTACTGAGAGCGACGCGGGAGCACGCCCAGCATGCGAGGAGCAATATCAATCGCCGCCGTGCCGATTGGACACTGCAGGATTGGCAGGTAGAGCATAATTTTGACGTCGGCGGCGGCATTGCAGTCGCCCCCCACTTTTCAAGGCTTCAAGCCCTGCAACAGGCAAGTGCCTTCCCACCCGAGCATACATTGAGTCAGAGCTGAATCTCCTGGACTTGCAGCTGCTCGACGAGAATGCCAAGGTCCTCCTATTGTGGCGTGACCGGATCCTTGAGCGCATCACCAAAGATATCAACCGCGAAATTGACCAACAAAATGAAGCAGACGACCAGTACAAGGACAATCTTGATGCTCAGCACGAAGCGGAGGCTCTGCTGGAGATGTATAGGGTCCTGATGGCGGAGCGCGAGCTGATCCTCACTGGCAAGCACGTCGTCAATTCAACATCCAAGCCACAACTCTTTGCAACACTAGAAACGGTCGTTCGCGAGGCACGCCGGAACGAATTGCTCGGCCTCGGGCGGACCCAGGAGGAGGAGGAGGCCCTGGATGCCCAGCGTGTGCAGCTGGAGCATTTTAAAGCGCTGGATGACGTGCGCAACCAAGTCAAGTTGCGGGGCGGTACGCCTTCTGTCGCAGACACGATCGTGAGCCTCCGCGATTCTGCTGACAGGATTTCGAATCCAGAAGAGACTTTGCTCTTGCGTGAGTGTAATTCGCTGTTTCCTCCATGCAAAAGGCGGACTGACCTGGAAGCATTTGTTTGCTGCAGGCGAAGCAACTCTTGACGCTCGAGAGATGCTCAGCCGGCAAACGAAGCTGCTCGATTCCGCCAAGCGCGACGCAAATCTCATGTCTGCTCTCTACAATGGTCGTTCAGCATACTTTGAGCAATTGCAATCGCTTTCAGACATGGTGACAGACGTTCCGACGAACAACCCCCTCCATGACATTTCAAAGTGCAAAGCAGAGGAAGAAGCTGCCCATCTAAAGATCGGCACACTCAGCCGTCGCCTTCGGTACCTGCAGCACCTCAACTCGTCCCGAGAAGTCGAGGACCAAGATTCAGAGGTGCAGGAATGCTTCATGTGCACAGACGTCATTCGCAGAGGCGTGCTGACGGACAAGTGCGGACATGTGGCGTGTGAATCGTGCTTCAACGAGTGGCTCAAGTCCAAGCGTACCTGCCCCATGTGCAACACCAAGCTAGTCGGCCCCGCTGACTTTCACCGCATCGTGTATAGGCAACTCTCCCCAGGCGTCGAGCAGAGATCTTCTGTGCAGACGCTGAATTTGCAGCATTTTAACTGCCTTCAGGGAGACCCACGCAAAGACATCGAGGTTCAGTCTGCAACAGGGCGATTTGGCAGCAAGATGGATCTGCTTGTCAAGCACATTCAATACATCCAGCGCACTACAGGAGAAAAGTCCGTCGTGTTCAGTTCCTTCACCCGCGGCTTGGACCTTGTCGAGCAAGCGTTGCGCGCTAACGCCATCCGGAGCGTACGATTGCAAGGTTCAGGCTCCGTTGCAGGCGCAGCCGCGCAGCGTTTCAGAACAGAACCCGAACTCGGCGTCTTTTTGCTTCATTCAGAGGGACAGTCATCCGGACTTAATCTGCTCTGCGCCTCGAACGTTTTTCTTTTGGAACCACTCGTCAACCATGCGCTCGAGCTCCAAGCAATCGGCAGAATCCACCGCATCGGCCAGCCGCGTAAAACCCATGTGTTTACCTACTTTGTTCTTGATACTGTCGAAGAGAACATCATCGCCCTGTCTCAGCGCAAAGGCCATTCCCTTTACGAAATGTGTCAGCATCGCCAGCAAGAAGATCCAGCCCTCTTCACCGTGCAGGCGTCTCAGAACCAGCCTCCGACCCACCGAGCGGCGCGTGGCGACTTTGTTTCGTCAGTGGATGACCTTTTTGTCTGCTTCTTTGCATCATGAGCTCGTACCTCTAATGAAAGGTGGCAGTCCATGCACGTAGCGTGTCCTCAGCAATCTTCTACAGCATCGTGTTTCAAAGTCGGCCAATAGACTGCATTTGGCTACCTTAGCATCAGAAATAAATTATCTGTAAATGTTGGTCATGGTGCGTAACCCCATTGGTAAGAATAAATGGCTATCGACCTCTCGCCTACTTACACATCGTGGAGAGCGTTTGATGCAAAAGTGTAAGTGTTCGCGTTTGATGCAAAAGTGTAAGTGTTCGCATCAGTCCCAGTGAATCAAGCCAAGAGTCTGAAGCTGATGTGCCTGGGTGAAAGCTAGGGGGCAAAGCTGTGATTAGATGAAAAGCTGTCAACAACGGCCTTCAGAGGTTCAAGTCCTACTGTCACATGTGCTTCTCACCATGAGCTCTTTGCTTCTTTAAGTATATTCAAACTCAACAAAGAAGCATTGAGTTTTGCCGGAAGGAGTGCAGCAACAGTGGCGTGATGTAAGAAAGCGAAGACTTGCCGCAATAGAGTGTCATCTGTCCTTGTATTGTGGATATGTGTGTCTCTGGGACTTTCGCAAAGAGACCGACTGATCGAATGGCGGAGGTACGAAGCGAACATGCACGTATTATCCACTCGTAGCGAGTCCCATTGTTGGGAACCCGACCAATGTAACTCGAGGACCTGGATACAGAGCATGGGGGAGACGAGTTGGCATGTAAATTCTTTCGTAATTGCGATACCATGCATGACAAGGGAAGGCATTTCAGTTGCAGCAAGGTGCAGCGCGAAACCATTGAGCAACATAGTGACTGCGAGTGGTCCACCCTCAATTTCTAGATAGTTGTTTGAACTGCTGAGTGAATGAGATACCCGGCCCACAGTAATGTTGCGTTCAGACCACAGCATTTTTGATGATCTGGCCTGCGTGTTTTGACCGAGGATAACTCCGCAGTCGATAGCTACTCTTGGTTCTTGGCAAAAGGACTGATAACAGAAGCTCCAACAAAGCGATGCGGGGAAGCAGGGGTTGCGTACCATCCTGACACACCTGAAGGGGGGCAGTGCTTTCATCGACGTATTTGTACGAACAGGGATGCTGGGTAATATCAAGACTTATGTATGTATGATGCTGCGTTCGCGCCACCTGGCAAAGCCACTTTTCAAATTGATACAACGACGTGCAATACATGCCCCCATCTTGCACAATCGTGAAAGGGTCTTATTAATGGTTCGTCGTAGACTCGGATCATACAAGATCACACCCTTCCGTCTACTGGCTGTCCGATGTCAGACGTGAGAGTTTCCGAAGAGTATTTAGTTCCCAACGACACAGAGCCAGTACAATGGGCAGGTCGAAAGGCACGTTATCAAACATAAGCATCAGCCGCCAGTAGCCAGTAATCGACAGTCAAAATGCAGTCGTCAATAGAGGGTATGAGTAGTGAGCTTGAGTGGTCACTATATAGTGGTCAATAGTCAATGAGTCAAATGCATAGTCATCAATCAGTAATCGGTAGCCAGAACATACATATTAGGCAGGCACCTGGCGTCCCAACTCTCGCGTCACTGTCTGTCAGGACTGCTAGGAACAGCCACTCGCCTCATTGCCGATGTCCCAGCCACCATAACGGAAGTTCCAAAACGAAGCATCCCCAACACCCATTTTTGTTAAAACTCCTGTACTTCTGATCTCTGAAGCGACAAAACACGCATTTGTCGGGGCTTATCACGGGTAATTACCCCATATGTATAGTAAGGTCAACAGCCCGTTTCTATTACAGGCGTGACGGCTCTCAGTACTCACCGCTCAGCCTTTAGTGCTCAGCGGGCTGGATGGCAGTGAGTTACTTTGACATTTTCTCATAGGCTTCCCCACACCATTAGTTTTCAGAGCTTCAGACTTGCGGTGGGTTTGAAGCCCCCGTTGTTCTTCAATGTATTCGTTGGTGAAATAGATGGAAGTAAATAGCCTCACAAACGATTATTTTTTACGTAAATAGTTTGAACAATGGGACGGAATTGTTGCTAGAAAACACAGTGTGCTCCTTCATTATCCTTCACCTTACGCAACCATGTTCAGACTACACGCTTCATGCTTCCCAAGCTACAAGGGTTATTTGTGCGCGCTAGAAAGGGGTTTTTTCGCATTTGAACTTCAGGAATTACTAAACACTGAACATCAGTTTTTTGGCCATGAGCTGAGAAGAGTTGTAGTTCGAGCAGATTTTTAAACCAAAATTGGAAAGGTCATACTTTCAGAAAGAGTTTTCATTTCTCTTCCATCGCAATGTCGACACAATACTGTCCAGTATGGGGAAATTCGACTTCCATCTCAGATCTACGCACGCGGCGGCATTCTGTCACAGCCAGCGACCATGTATTCCTTCCATTCAGAATACCTCGCGCGGCTGCAGCCGTCTCGGATGTCATGTCAGACTGCCGGACCAACCTGGTGGTATGGCCAGGGCCTCCGCAATGCGAATGAGCGGAAGTGCGTTAACAATGTACATATAACGAAAATGCGGATGTGTCCATCTAGGAGTATTTGACATAGATTGGAATGTCAGAACTTCAGATGGATCAACGCACAGACACGGCAAGTGCGCTTGCTGGCCGGAACAGGCAACGTCCAGAGTTCAGTATTCAGCATTTAACATCCAGCGCTCAGCACTCAGCGTCTAGCGTTCAAGTGTTCAAACGTTCAGCGCCCAGTATCCAGTATCTGGCATGAAATATTCAGTTTTCAACAGCCGGTAGCGAACGCGTGAGCGCTGAGCACTCAGCGGCAGTAGTCATTAGTCGGCAGTCACATAGTCAGAACGTCCAGTCAATCAACAGTGATTATGTCCGGGCGCACAACACTCCAAACATGTCAGTACATACATGTAAGAGATTCCCTTTGTACGCAGGTGGCAGGGCTTGCGTTATGCCCGAAGCGCTGAGAGAGCGGGAAAGCATGCCAGCCATAGACCACTAGGCTGCCGCGTGGGGTTCACGTGGCGTGGCATCACACGTGCATCAACATGTCACAAAGGTATTCCTGATGACATCACTGATCACCTCACCCCCTTTACGACTGGCCTCACCGGCACCTGTAAGGACAAGGCCAAAAGAAAGAGGTTTTGGGAACCGTGGCGTTGCTCTATAGTCCGGTTGACAGGGCAGTGCGCATTGCGCTATTCTTCACGCAGCGGCCCACTCTCCAGTGGGCCAGGTACCCGTGCCGAACTACGCTAACTACTAAATACGCCAGGACACTGGGTCGCCCAATGCCACATCGTCACCACACGTCAGTCGCGATGCTGCCAAACCCCATAACTTCAGTCCGAAAACTCAAGTCACAACTTGGTGAAAGGTCCAGTTGCAACTTGGCTGCGCATGTCAGGCTTGAACTTGATCAGTCAATTTCCGGAACATTTTCGGAATGGAAAATAAGCTAAAGCAAAAGAAAATCGGCCATATTGGACAACTTTTTTTTTACCTGCCTTGGGAATCTCCTAGTTGCAACTTGAGCTTATATTATGTCGGAGAAAGCAATTGACCTGTTACAGTAAAATCTCATTTCCAGGCCAAAATTAATGCTTCCATCGTTTTCTCAAGTTCATTCGCGAATTGCTTGAATCTTTGGGAGAAGCCCCATAATACCAATGGCTTTTGCGCCGATCCTGAAGACCTTGTTTAAGCACCGGAAGTGCAAAGAAAAGTTTTCAGGTTTGTGCCGTTGGCTCAGCTGTTCAGGGGTTTCCGTCTCCTGGAAACTGCCTAAACACTGTTTACGGGTCCCAAATCCCCCGGGTCCGCTCTGACAGGCATAGTGCGAGCAGATGCAATAAAAGGATTATCAAGGGCGCATGAACATGGCTTCGAGGGCGACTTGCTTTCCGAGGGTTTATCAAGGATGAGAACGAAATTCACGTCGTTGTTCGGACTCCAACCAAATCGAGCAATTTCAGTCCTAAAAAACTTGAGAAAAACGCACGATTGCGTGAGTTTCAAGAATCAAGATCCTCGCCTTCGGGAAGACTCGATTTTTCAAAACTCCCGCACTTTTCCCTGTGCAGGATTCACTACACGAAGTATTCAAAACCATCAATATTTGCTTGCTTATCACGCTAGATCTGATTGGCAGTGACCTCACAGTATGGGTTGTGCTTACAGCAGCGATCAGCACAAATTAAAGGGGCTCTCAGCACCTTCAAGCGCATACATAGTAAGCGAATGGAGTTCAGAGGTGGGATAATCCTACACGTGCCTTGGACCAGTCGTACAAGCTATGAAGCTAATGTAAGTTATAAAACGAAGAAGAAACGTGATTTTTCAAAAGTCACCAAGGGAGTCCCGCTCTTACAAGCGCCGATTTGCCGTTAAGTTGCTTTTGTTCACCATGGGCCAGAGTTACTTTCTGCAAAAGTCACTTGTTGCAAACTCGTTGCTGAAATTGCTTGATAACCGTTGAAATTTTATTTGCATCAGAACGGTATAGAGTAATCACTGAGAGGCTTTCCGGGGGTTATCCCAGCTTGATTCGAACAGCCGCTTCTTAAAAGGGTTTGTGGGCTTTTCAGAAAAGTTTTGTTTCGCGACCCGGTATTTCTCAGGTTTCCGAGCCAACTCTAGTTTCTTGATTCTGTGTAATAACCTCACCAACATTTCAAAGAACAGGATCTATCTATACGTGTAAGAGCCAGCTAGCATCACGTAGAGCACGGAGGCCGGTGTGCAATGGATATTGGATATTACCTTGTTCTGATCGTGATCATGACTGTGATTGCGATCATTTATTTTCTTCTGAACAGCCAACTCATACCAGCCCAGACAAACAGACACCTATAGCTTACCGCTGGGCTACCCATTTACCCGACCTTTGTGGTTCCAAGCCTCAACAACTCTCTCGGTGCGATATGCCTGTGAATTTACATATTCATGTTCAATATTTATGAAGTGACATGGCATTTGTGAGTTTTGAATGTCAGGTGTTAATGTGAGATGTGATGAGATGTGAGTTGTGACGCTTGAAAATTTGGTGAGTCCTGGCGAGTGATGGACTCTCCATTCAGGCAGAGGTTCTTATTGTGTGACATGGCTCCTTAAAGATACATGCTAAACGCTGAAGCTGGATGAAGCAAGGCAACAAAACTCACGCGCAAAGGCCATCGTCGCTCTGTGCATCACTGTAGGTCATTCCAAGTGGGGAGGACGCTTTGAATTAGGGAACGAGCATCTTTACCTCCACCCGGCGCCAGGACCGATTCTTTGTAGAGTTGACCCTGCCGCCTTGAAAGGGCATCTGGTCTGAACAGTTGTTCCCAAAGTGCTGAAGCTATGGCCCTGTCCAGTGGGTATGAGTAGTACGATGCTGGATACGAAACAAGATGGGCAAAGCGGCCTTGCCAGTCCAAATTTTGTACGGGCGTGAGTAGTGCAGCCTCTTCCTGGGCTTGCTCAAAAGTTGACGTGCTGTCGAATCTGCTATCCTCCGGGGATCGCAAATGGAGCCTCTGGTCAAGCAATGATAGCAAAAGCTCGTCGTATCTCTCGAGATGCTTGAATTGCGATGCCGAGTGGAGGTGCTTTTGAAGATGCTCATAAGGTAGTGGCTGATCCGTTGAGTAATGCCGCGCAAATAAGGGCAGCACACTCGGGTCGGTAAGAAAGTGCTCCATGAGTATTGAAGGAACTTCGACAAAGTCTGTGGCACACCGAGTACCAGATACATTCTGGAATTCGGTACGTCCCACCATCGCTGTAAGCAGCAAAACCGAGACATAGTGTTAGAACGGCCACTGATGATTTCCACTGGCCACTTCACGCACAATGTAGAGCGTGGCCCATCTCGTGAAATAATGTCTCGATTTCAGGCCATTGCAAGAAAGAGGGAGAGTTACCTGCTGAAGGTCGGCGAAAGTCACATAACAGCGCCACAATTGGCTGCTGGTACAGCCCTTCGCGGTCATTCGTACACTGTGGCTGACCAGTGAAGGGTGAGTCCGACAGCGTGGGGAGGTCTCCCCCAGAAAAGACGCTGTCGATATCATCTTGCTCCTCATCGAGATCTACCCGACGTGAGCAGCGCACAGTAAAATGTGCTGCACCACTCGGTTTTCCAGCACGACTCCAGAGATCAGCGTATATCACGCCTACTGGGCCGCCTGCATCCTCGTCGATGACCTCCAGTTTCAGAACATCCTTGCACCAGACTTCACCTGCAGCGGAAGGCACCAGCTGGAGGTGCATTCCGAAGAGATGCGAAAACAGTCGGCTGATACCACTGAAAACTGTGCCCACACTGAAGAATTGGGATAGAGGTGTCGTCGGTGGGCTGAAATGATCTATGTGGCGATTAGCAAGAAATTCTCTGTCCCACGCTCGCAAACGCGCGCTCCCGAGCTGTGGACGTTGCTGTGAGAGCAATAATTGAACCTCCTTCTCAACGTTGCCGCAGATCAAAGACAGTTGTGAATGAAGAAATCGAATGACGTTGCCTGAGGTGCCATTGAATTAGTCCCGGACGAGTTTCGCGAGTAACAATGAGCGGCTCACCCGGATCTCGCGCCATCTTATCTTTTAGCACCATGTGAGCAAAGGATTCATAGCCACTTAGCTTCGCCAGTTGAGCCCTGCGCTCAAGCAAGGCTTCCAATAATGCTTTCTGAGGTTTCCCGCTCGCGAACGCTGAGCGATACGCGGCCTCGCGCGCTGATGCATTGGTTGAGTTCCGAATGATCTGCATCAGATACGGGCTATCTGCGCGCAGCTCAATGATTCCATCGAAGCAGAGGGACTCGTCCATGATCCCCTGCAGGATCGGTTCCGGAAGACTAGCTAGCCAGGAAGGCTGGAACCTCGCTGGCGGCCGTCCCTCCCCTGCTTGCAAGTTTTGAGAAAAAGCAGTACTGAGGGAGAGGACAGAGTCGCTTAGAGAAACAAAACGCTGTCGATCATGCTCCGGCAGGTGAATGGCAGACTTTTCGAAGTCCTGGAGGAAGATGTGGGCTACATGGAGGCCTTCTGGCGAGAGCAGAGACTTCACCTCAGGGGCGCGAATCGCCGCGGCAAGCGTCTGAAAACACGTGGGTTAGCCTAGAACAGCTGCTCATGATTCGATCGACTCACTTGATACATGCCAGTGCTGGTATTGAGCACGTTCATATAATTGCAGAGGTACTGATGCGCTTGCTCTGCTGCAGACGACCAGTCAGGATCTGGATGAGCAGTTCGCACAAATTCTGCCATGTCGATAACCTTGCACAGCATATCTGACAACCTGTCGATGTTACGAACTACAGCAGCCATTTCCCTTGGGCCACGGCGGGGTGCTTCTGTAATTCTTCGTACCAGGACGGAAGCTCGTTCTTGCGACTTCCTTGCGATCGTTAGGAAGTCTCGAGGGTGCTTCAAAGTTGTCTCCCCAAAGAGCCCAGTTGAGGAACCAGAAGCTGCCTTGCAGGACGCTCCAAAATTGTCGATCACCTCTCGCAGATCACGGAAGGAATGTGATAGATCATTGCTCGAATGTCGGCTGTTGAGAGCAGTCGCATGAAAGATCCGCTTGGTTGAGACCTCAATGTCAGCCTGCAGCAGGATGCCTCTGAGTGCCAAGCGCTTCGACAGAAGCGGTCGGGCCAGCTTGCAGGCAGTGAGAAGGCACATTTCGTACCGTCTTACGTTCACCACGCCTCCGCCTCTTGCAAAAAGCTGAAAGGTTGACTGGGATTTGGTTGACCTTGGCCGTTAGATTGGGAAAGATCATTTATAAAGCTGAGGCGTGAAGACTGAGGCTGCTAATGAATGCCTTTGAGAACTAGATCCTGGTGGCTTCTGAAGCGCTGAATATTGAACTTGACGACCGTCCGAACCACATGGGTGGCTTAGTTCAAAAAGGCAGGACTACTAGACCCGGGCGCAATGCCAGCCTCGAGCTCTCGTTCGGGATTCCCGGGATCCCGCCGGATTGTGCGTCCAAGCCAGTTCCCTTCCCGGATTCCCCCTGCCGAGGGCAGGATTCATCAGGATCCGGTCATTTGGGATTGGGCGGGATCACTGGGGAAACGGGAAATCCTGTCACGTCACATTCCCGAACGAGACCTCTCTATCCAGAGCCAAAGCTTCAACCAATCCCCAGCCCCAGACTACGAGTACAGTCCGCATATAGCCAGGTTCGGCTTCCAGAGGAAAGAGGCTATGTGCTACGGTGAACCGAGAGTGAATTAATCGTTCTAATATTTACAGCTCGTTTTGTGACCGGCGTCCCGGCCAATGGCCATCGGCCATCGGCCAAGCTTGACGCCCTCACGGCCTCACCGAAGTCGCCATCCCATCACCACTGCACCAGTAGGGCGTAAATAAAATCAAAGACACAGACTCGACACGTCTCATTGACATCTTAACAATTGAATTGTAGCAGCTTGGCCCTTGGCCCTTGACTATCGTGTATTCGCTATTCACCATCGACTCTTGACTGTTATGATGGACCTGATTACGATACTGACTAGTAAGTGTAATTTTGTCGCACCGAGCCAGATGCAAAGTATCTTTTTGAGCAATTTTTGCGCGTTCCTCATAGTGGTGACTCCACATGGGATTAAGAACGCCCATGGCTACTCGGATGCGATCTCTTTAAGCCTCTTAAAGGGCACAGAAAATGATCTCCAAGTATCATAAAATCAGACCCTTCATTCAATAAATTGAATCGTGAATTGAGGAGAGTGGATGTAGGTGCTTGAATAAGTTGGTTAAGGCAAGCAAATCGGATGAAGCTAGTGCGCGTGTTTGGCATATTGACGCAGCCTGGACTCCTGGAGTTCGGCAACTCCCTTTGCAAAAGGGTAGTGATGGGCTGGATGAGGCCGTGTTCAAGCGTGTGGTCTTCGAAACATATTGGCTTCAACTCTCCCAGGCACTGAGTAAGGTAATCTTACGTCTTGGGGCTCCTGGGTCCCTCAGCAGCCGTGGTGAAAGTGAAAAATGAAAGATGGTACATGTTGAACACTGGTGGATACGGGATCAAGAAGCACCGTGAAGACGGTTAATATATTTAGAATATTTCGGTTACTTGCAGGTAAAGAGTGATATTACCTTCAATCAGCAGATTGCACTACACCTCCTCTTTTATACCTGGCAGGATCTATGCGAGCGGTTCTGAGCAAATTGCAGAAATGTTTCAAGCCCAGTCAAAGACCTCCAGTAACCCAGTTGCACCTGGCCAAAGAGATCGCTGAGGTCAACTCAACACAAAGGATCAGCACATCGTGGCAATGGTGTATTAAAGAACAAAGGATTGTAGATATGAAGCCATTGGAATATTGAACTGATTTGACGCCTTGGGAACGCGTATCAATTCAAGTGAATGTCTGATCGTGAACTATCTCGGCACAAAGGCGCAGATGTAATACTAACCCAGCACCTATGCAAGCTTGTGTAGATATGAAGAAACAACGTTGGGTGACGATCTATATGAGGGAAACCAGTGACCACAGAGCGGTGAGCGCTGAGTAGTGCGGAGTAGGATAGCGAGAAGTGATACGAGAGTCCAGCCTAGGAGTACGCATATATCACAATTACTGGATATTTCATAATTCACAAGATTTTTAAATATTGAATCTCATACGCCTGATTCTCATCTTGCGCATTCACATTTCAAATTGAAAAATAAATAGGTTTCTAGATCCTCCTACAAAACATTTGCCAATATTTGCATTCAGAGTTCATTATCAATGCTTTCCTGGTTCATCGTCCATCGTCCATCGTCCATCGTCCATCCTTGCGTATTGTCCTTACGTACTAGTGACGAGAGGCATGGGCGCATGAGCACTGTGACATGATGCGTGGTAGGTCCTATGCACTTGCAGCACCTCTCTTGAATATGCCCGTGGGTTCGAATACATATTTTGCATTCGAAAGCCCCCCAGGCAGCAGGCTTTGGCATAGTACCTCACGCTGCGCACCTTTCACGCTAGTACACGCTCCGTCACAAGTTTCACATGCTTGAACAGGATCATTTTGAGGCCTGAGGCGGCTCTGATCGCTGATGTAGGGATTTGCCGGTTTGACTGATTTAAAGCCAGCAGTTCCCAAGATCTGAGATAAGGAAGCAGAGCCTTGGTGCGCACAACAGTCTCATCAGAGTGGGAACGCAGCAAAACCTGGTACTGAAACTTTTCAATCCATAGAGGACCCTCGCCACACAGATCAGATGTACGCTTGTGTTCGCATGTCGTGAGCGGGGAAACTGGTCACTGGGGGCACCAGACACTTCTTGCAGTCCCATATCTGAAGACCTGTGCGCTGTGTTCACCCCAGCAGCAACCAGTCGTAGTCTATAGGATGGAAATTGGAATGTTCTTATTAACCTCAACAAGACAGAGAGTTGATATCTTCATAGACCAGTGCGTCTCCCTCCCAGCCCTTCTCGAAAACGGACATTCTTCTTTGTTCTGCATTCACTCCAACAGCCTACTGAGCTCAGCTTACGCGGCCGCAACCATGAAAGACCCGGTCTTGCCACCGTTTGCACTTCTGATGTGCATACTCGTCTGGCTTCCCTTTCGTTTCCACTGGCGTCTGCGCAACTATTCAGTCATGATCATGATCCTCTGGCTCTCGATTGGCAGCTTTTTACTTGGCCTCAACGCACTCATATGGTGGTCAGACACGACGCCGCGGGGTGATCCATGGTGTGACATTAGCACCCGTCTAATGCTCATGTCTCAAATAGGTGCGGCAGGTTGCAACTTTCTCCTGAGTAAGTGAAGGTGTAGTAAAAATATTTCCCATGGTTCCCTCTAATCGCATAGCTCTTTAGGTCGCAAATTAGCAGGCATCAGCTCTATATCCCGTGCGACGCGAATGGAAAGTGACAGAAGACGAGAAGCGGCTCTAGACATTGGGCTCGGCTTTGGAATACCGATTGTCCATATTCTTTTGGCGATTTTGTACCAAGGACACAGATATGATCTTTATGAAGGTGAGCCGTCGAAGATTTACAGCATGTTCTTATCTGATAGCTTTCTGCATACACTCTAGGCTCTGGGTGCGAGGGTACGACGTATCAATCGTGGCCATACATCCTTTTTGGCTTGCTACCACCGCTACTTCTGAGCCTTGCCACGCTCGTGTTCAGTCGTAAGTACATTGTCCCAGAAAGGTGTGAACCAAATCTGAAACGTTTTTCTTCTGTGGTTCTATTTAGTAATTGCAATGTCACGCTTCATCTCCCGACGAGCTCAGTTCAAGGCGGTGCTCCATTCTTCCAACTCGGCATTTGACCGTGGGCGCTTTTTACGACTCTTGGCTTTGACATCAGTTGAGGCTATCTGGGGGTTTCCGGTGACCTTAACACTGGCTGTTATCTCAATCGTGGGAATGCACGAGAGTGGAGCAGATTTGTTGGAGCCCTATTCTTGGAGTAGGGTGCACCATAACTTCTACAAAGTTGGCAGATACCCATCCCAAATTTGGGACCCATTCCCCAAGCAGTACGCCACGTGGGAACTTGGACATTGGGTAATCCCGGTTTCCGGGCTCATCTTCTTCGCACTATTTGGGTTCACAAAAGAATGTCGCGCAGCATATTTCCCTCGATCACTTTTCACAAGGGGCCACTCGGCAAACATATCACTCTCCACCCAGCTCGGCGGAATTTCGCCAAGGGCATTTGACAGCTTCTCACATGGCAAAGGAGTCGATGTTCTGCATGGCCTGCACATCACCGGAAAGTCCATCGACGATTCGCGCACAGAAGAGTCACTGCAGATTCACATTCACTAGCTTGTCTGTACAGCGAAATAGATCCATTCTTGAGGCTTCTGGCTCTTTTGCTGCAATGTAATTTTGTGACTTGAAAATGTATTCCCGAACATCCGAATGCTGCGTCAGGTTTATAACGGGGCTTCATGAGGTCTGAGCAAAGCCTCATGGACTTTTGAAGGGTCGCTAGTGTCCTGTCCAAACTCCAACGGCCTGCATCTTTCAAGTTATACCAATTCTCGGAAGGAACGCGAACGAGCTGTGTACTACGTCGTATGTTTTGATACGTCTTGAGACGTAACTCGTATCCGTCGTATGATCGATATTCCACTTCACCCCCATTCATTTCTCTTGCCTTTGTGACGAAGTCTGTGTCCCCATTGATTACATGTGTAGTCACGCGTCCGGCTCCAAAAAGTGTGCAGAGAGTCGTAAATTGAGAACCCGCACTTGCGCTCCAAAGTTCTTGATACCCACTGGATAACTGAATGCAGGATTGTCCATCAACGTATATAAGAAGGACTCGCATGCTTTAGCGCAAGGAAAGGTGTGAATCTTCTTCCTTGGGAAGGCCAAGTCATTAAGACGGGAAATCTGTTAAGACAACCTCATCTTCCTCACGACTTCGAAGACATCGCCATGTTTGCGGACCTCTTCACCACTATCGTGCGAGTCGAGCACGTCTCTAAAGGGTAAGTCCTGGTGGATTAAATCGAAGGACCTCATACAACCTTTAGGTCTTACATCCATTTTGGCATACTTTGCAGAGCGAATGCTATTAAGAAAGATGATCCCAGGTGCGCTTTGACAGCGATGACGTTACAGAACTTCGCACTATCAAGCTAATCTGCTTATCTTTTGAATTCTCATGCCCCTGTTCTTCTTCCTCAGTACCACCCCTCCCTACGGACCTGGCTGCACGATCGCTTAAGAGGCCGAGCGCCAAGTGGTGCTGCCAATGTGGCCATCATAGGCCACAACCATGGATACTATACACTATACTGTCTCATCTTTCATCAATCCTGTTTCTATCACCATGCTTTCTTCCAGCAGTTTCTGATTCCACACTACTTCAAGCTCATACCACTAGATGTCAGCCCTGTTTAATGTCACTTTCGCATCGGATTCAGGAAATGTCAAACGAATCGATTTGAGTCGTACCACGCAACAAAATCTTGTGTGAATGGCAAAGAGAGAGAAGACACTGAAGCTGCCTAACCTTTCCCTTTGAAATATGCATCATTGTAGCGTTTTCGTGGGCGTTTCTGCCATTTCTCGGATCGGCTGACGTTTAATTTGGCGAATTCGTCACGTTCAGAACCTGTCATTGCATACTTCTTGCGGGATGACGGGGTCATGCGAACGGTTACAGTCGGATGAACCCTAGTCGGGTTGGAAACGTGAGCCTGTACCCTTATTAGTTCGGCCGACCCTCAGCCTGGCCTATGCCTGTGGAGGGGGCAGTCACGGGCAGTACAACAACTCGGCTCAGTTTCGTCTGTGACAAAGCCACTTACAATTGTGCACCCGGGACTTCACGCCCTTAGTCCGGTGGCCAGACCATTTCCGCTGATGCGCAGCTCTGAGCTTGCCGGTCGGAGGGGCCGAGCAATCATGGGCAGGGGCACCAGGGCAGTGGAGAATATTGCTAGTTCGGTGCGGTTTCCAACGAGACTATTCGGCCTACAAACCTTCCCAAGTTTCAACCTGCCCTGCGCCTCCATGCTCTGGAGGCGCCTTTCTAGTACACTGGTCTCGTTTATCCACGAGACTATAGGTAAGCATAGGTAAAACGTACACAAACTTGGACCAGTCGCAGCTTGCTGCGTTGCGACTGGTTTGAGTATTGTCTCAAAAGAATTTGTCCACACAAAAATGCTATAGCTATTGAAAAGCTCCTTCTCAATGATATCGTCTTCACCATTCTGTGTTCTGCCACATGGTCCTACGCCTTACTCTGAATGCCTAACCGATCAAATAAGCATCTGCAGTGCATCGTGTCACAGCTGGTGGACGTAACTTGAGCCCGGTGTTCGCATCTTGCACCTAAACAATGTGACCATATCCGTCTCGCTTTCAAACATTTGAAAAGCATGCTGTCAACTCGCTAAAACCTAAAAGGCTGCAACGCCTGCGCTTTACAAAGGCTGCAGTCGCCTTGGGAAGGGAGTTAGGAACAACTTCAGAAAGGCACCGCCAGGCAACTGCGGTAATGCACAGATTCAATTTGTGCAGATGTTGTCGAGTAGAGCTTCACGTGCGGACGCCTTTTATATTCCTGTGCAGTATTACTCCTTCTTTTGCAAGCTCATCTCAATAGCCCGGGCGATGGCCTCTTCCTCAGTCATTTCCTCATCGTCATCCTGGGGGTTGCATTCTGTGCGGTCATCCGAGTTGCTTGAGTCGGCCTTGTCCAACGCAGAGCTAGTAGCGGCGGCCATCTCCGCGTCTTCTGACTGTTTCGGCTCTACTCGCTGTGAAAGCGCTAGAGCGCGAGCGAGCATAGCCTCCTCGTCGGCGTCGTGCGCATCATTCCCCGCTCCCGTAATGGATTCTGCACCCGTAACGATCAGGGATCCCCTTCCTGCGAGTAGCGCCGGTTCTGGCGCACTGCCACCATCCTCTGTCCGCGTGCGAGGCTCCTCCCCAACGCTGCTTAACACAGGAGCGGCACTGACGGATGATGATTGCACCGTCGCCCGTTGCCGCGCTTGTTCTTCTTCCAGCGACATGCGTAGGGCCTGAAAGAGAAAAAGAATACCATGTCAATGATGCCTGGAAAGCGATGCACTCGAGCGATACTGCCCACCATTGCAAGCTCCGGATCCATACTTGGATCGACCCCAAAGTCAAATCCACCATCACCGCCTGCGCCGCCGTCTCCTCCAGTCGAAATTCCGGGTGCACCTCCCACGTCGGTGCTCAGCACAGAAGATGAGAGTATTATGTCTGAAAGAAGCTGCGGTCCTGGCGGAATACTGAGCAGATGACTGAAGTGCAAAGAGCGGATGATGCCAACAGATCAGAACATTGAGCCCGGCAGACAATTGGCATCTGCACGATTCATACCTATTCTCGCCACTGTCGACGCTTTCAACAAATGCCCTCAGCTTTTCTTCGTTCTCTCCATTTTCGCCAAAGTTGATAATGTCCACAGCGACATTGTTCTTTTTAAGCTTTTTCCCAAGCTTAATCAAGCTATCCTGCGCGTCTGGAATGGGAGATCCCACGAAAGCGATGATCCGCTGGCGCTGATTCTTGTTCTCTCGGTGCTTGAGTGCAAGCTGTCACAGATAATTTTGATTAGGAAAAGCGCCGTAGAGCACGAACATGAAGGACGTACCTGTGCGATGTTGATGCCAGTGCAAATGTTGGCAGCTCCGGAGAGTGTCGAGCTGTGCAAAGCTGTGAGCAGCTTTCCGATATCCTTGGTTAACGTGACAAGTACCTCGGGGCTTTGGGCGACAACAGTAGATCAACATAGTTCAGCCAGTGGTACGGATCCCAATTGCACATAGTGAAACTTGCCTCTTTCCTGCCATGGTCATCAAGCCGACTTCGTTTTCTGGGTTCGAGTTGGTCTTTGCGTTGAATAGGACATTCACAGCGTCCGACTGGGCCTCCCACCTCGAGGGCGTGTAGTCGCCATTTCTCATCCACTCTGAGTTGTCCAAACTGCACGACATTCGCGGATCAGAAGAAGCCGCATAACGCACGCGAACAGCGACTCACACCAGCATCGTTGCTTCGAGCGGCATCGTAAAAGTGTTCGCAGTTGGAGCTCACACGATGTATGCTCAACTTGCAGAAACAATGTGCGCAAAACTTCGCGGCTACCACGGTATTGTATATAGGGCAGGGGCTGATCAATGAAATGCAGATCGGAGCTCCTGCAAAAGGGTGGTCATCATCAGCTGACGTGGTTGCAGGCTGTAGTGAGAATAGTGTCGTAAGTCGTGCGTAAGAGAGCTGACGACGCGCTCCTCCCTTCGACTGCCATGATGACAGGCGGCGCCGAGGGCGGACGACCGCCGACAGGATAGCCGCGCAACCCTATTTATTTTAAGTTCGGCACAAGGTCAAACCTCATGACCTGGATAGTCTCTGCAATGTCGTCCATCTATCGCAGACAGCGAGCGTCGATCTGCCGTTTCCCCTTGCGCTTTGGTTCGGCTTTCGATCAGCATTTGTTCTTGCTATCTGCTGCAGACGCGGCTGTACGCGAAGCTGACTGTGTTTGCGCTTACGACGCCAGCAGGACTTTGCACAGCGTGTCCGCCAATTTCATTGTCCCCCCTGCGCAAGGCGTGTCACGTCTTCCGCATCCACACGAGCGCAGCGGTGAAGCTGCTCTGGATCGCGTTGATCTAAAGATACGCTGGCAAAGATGGGCTCCCCTTCACGTATCCGTGAGGTATGGGCCGAAAATTTTGAGCAAGAGATGACAGTGCTCAGAGCATCTATTGATCACTATCCATACGTCGCTATGGTGAGCACCTACGGCTAACTGCTGTTGATGTCACTTCTCTGATTCAAGTCATCGCTTTTCAGGATACCGAGTTTCCGGGCATCGTTGCACGTCCGATAGGAACATTCAAAGGCTCATCGGATTATCACTATCAGACGCTGCGATGCAACGTAGACCTGCTCAGGCTCATCCAACTCGGCCTCACAATCTGCGATGCCGATGGCAACCTTCCGCCACCTGGGCAAGCATGCACATGGCAATTCAACTTTCGCTTTAGCATCAAGTTAGTAGATGAGATGCTCATCCAAGCCCGCATGACGGAGTGGCTGAACACTTTCCACCTCCAGCGACGACATGTGCGCTCCAGACTCGCTCGAACTCCTCACAAAGGCCGGCTTGGACTTTGATCGGCACGAGCAGATGGGCATCGACGTAGAGCACTTCGGTGAACTGCTCATCACATCAGGTCTCGCCCTATTTGACGATGTCAAATGGGTCAGCTTCCACAGGTGAGTCTGGATGTTGGCCAGCCTTATCAATCGACATCATTGACCCAAGATTTATCCGTCCAAAGCGGATATGACTTTGGCTACCTCCTAAAGGTTGTTACAGCATCACCCTTGCCGCCTACTGAATCCGAATTCTTCGAGCTGCTTCGCGTCTGGTTTCCATGCATCTACGATATCAAATACCTCATGCGGTCTTGCAAATCGCTGAAGGGCGGACTTCAAGACGTCGCCGACGATCTACAAGTTTCAAGAATCGGGCAGCAACACCAGGCCGGAAGCGATAGCCTTCTGACAGTAAGCACATTTTTCAAGCTGAGGGAGAGGTATTTCGACGGGAAAATCGACGATCGCAAGTATCTCGGTTGTTTGTACGGGTTCACCCACTCAAACGGCGGCGCTGTGCAATACACACGTGCAAGTTCAAGCCTACGATCTCGGCCTACATCGACACCATCAACTGACCAATTTAGAACAGCTTTCGATGCAGCCCCCCCGCCAATACCACCCAATTCCTCGCCATTCCGAGCAAACGCCCCATCCAACCTACCCGGCTTGAATGCTCTGAGCAAAAACATGACAAATTACTCCGGTTCAACACCCAGCGGCCCTCACACGCCGGTTGCGGGCCAGGGAAAGAGGTTGTTTGGAAGCACGCCCATTGGCAGCGCTGGAGCTTGAAGTTGCCTGACTGAGCCTCACATTGCGTCAAGAGGTTCAAGGCCTCACTAGCGATGGAAGCGGTACTATGCAGTGTCTTTATACACTATGGATTCAGATGAAGTCCATCCTAAATCAGAGAACGCGTTTGCCATGCACCCTTGCTTCCACACGGGGCAAGCCGCCTCGCCTTGTAATCCATCCCTGCATGTCTCGACCGTGGCGCTGCCGAAAACAGCTGTTCCCATGTCGCAGCAGTACGGGCTATTTAATGGATAAAAATAGCATGGTGCCGGGTAGGAATCCAAGTCCGAGGAACGGGCTTGCCAGTCCAAAGCGTTCACAGGACTGAAAAGTCCAGCCTGTGCTTGCGCATGTTCATATGAAGACGTGCTATCGAATGCCGAGTCATGAGCAGCACGGAGAACAGGGTTTGGGTCTAACAATGATAGCAGTAGTTCGTCATATTATTCCAGATGCTTGAAGTTTGCATTGCATTGGATCGGAGATGATGACGAAGAGCGTCGAAAGGGAGCCGCAGCATGACGTTTAACTATGCTCAATAATGCCGTCGTGGAATGAACAGACTGACGAAGGATGCTATCAACGCTTACCTACCGCATTTGCAGAACGATCCGAACAACTTCGTTAGCTACGAGCTGAGTTCATTGTCAACATACGAAGCAACAACTACCTATGGTACGAAAATTTACAAACTCCAGCCAACCTTGCACTCTCCCGCAGACACAGCCCCACTTCATCCGCCGAGAGAAACCATCTCAAATCAAACTCAACGCTTACGGCTGACTGTTGCTCAGGAGAGCGGCAGGATGCCCCGCTTTGAGCCGAGGATCAAACCGCGCAACGAAGATGCGACAAGGCAGATGGTACTATAATCAGTGCCTGGTGGAGCCTCGACCCTGAGAGTGATGTGCCACGCCCGCCACCATCATCATCCAGTAGCAAAGAGGGAAACATGGATAATTAGCCAGTTGTGAAGCTGAGAATATCTCGCTCCTAACGAGCGCCAACCGCGATGGCGTCTTCGCTCGAACGGTAGAGCTGAACGGCAGGGCTGAACGGTTTCACTATCTTCGCGGCGCCGCTCTCTTTCGGCAACGGGTTGGCAAAGGGGTTCTTCCTTGCGCGTCACACTGCTGAACATTGAAGTACGATCGTTCGAGGACGGATGTTTGCGAGCGCATCTCAATCTCAGCGTAAGTCAGGGCTAGTCCATCAGAGCCGCAAGCTTCGTGTATCCAAACCTCTCGTTGGCAACCTAGGAAGGCGATATCAAGCTTGCGCCCGTGTCATTGCAGGTGCAGGGTGATAGAGACCCTGTCGTCAGGGAAGCCAGCCTGCTGAAAGGGGTCGCACGCGATGCTGCATCTGGATGGTACTCTAGTGGGCGTCAATTCAAGGGTGCAACGCGGATTCTGAGCACAGGTATTCCTGCGACAGGTGCTCACGTCAACCCGAGGCACATGTCGTCCAGAAAGGATAAAGACGAGATCGGCGATGGTAGCGAGGGCGAAGATGACAAGACACGGGGAAGTACAAAAGCATCTCTGATTGTATCGATTGCAGCATCAAATATGTGGATGACGCTCCTCATTAGTGATGGCAAGCTTCGCCTCATCTGCCTTGCAGATGCTACCCGCACCTGGGCTACAGCCTTGTTGCCATTCGTGCCATGGTGCCTTGAATGCTTTGGGAATACTACGAATCAACCATATGCATTTGAGTCTGATGAAGAGATGTCAGCGACATCCGGCTGATTCTGATGGCTCCAATGCCGCATCTAATTGTTGTCGACAATCAGCAGCTGCATGTGTACGAATTCAACCCATTTCAAGATCCTGACGCGCCAAGCGACGCAACGAACGTTGCTTTTGTCAAGATCCCCGGCAAGCAATTGTCCTTGCACAGCATTCCCATGTTGAAGGCGCCTAACAGTGACAAATTCGAGTTCGAAGGGCTCTCTTGCAATAAGCTTTCAAAGAACAAGTCGCCTTCAGAGCTGCGACCTTGGGTTGGCAGTGTAACCGAGTCGCCACTGCAGCGAAGCCTGCTCCTTGCTTTGCTGCGACTACAACGTTCTTGCGCCACATCAGTCAGCACACATTCATCCTACCATTACATGAGGAGAGACGCTCACTTGTGTTGAAGTGAAAGTGCAGCTGTTAATTCTTGAGCACACACAAGACAGAACTTAAGGACTCTAGATGAAGCCGCTCTTCCAGGTGTCGAAACTGCCATCGGGGGCCCGGGTATCTTGTTTTTGATGCTTTCGAGAGCTTGGACAGCGCTGTCACGCCCATACAATCACGTAGCATGTGCGGTTGTCATTTCTTGAGGCTTCTTCATAGGAAAAGGTGATACCACCATTCGTTTGGGAAGTGTGACCAGCCGTTTTTGTCAGCGGTTCGAAATGGCTGCCACGGAACCCAAACCGAGGGAATGCACCCCTAAAGTGACTCCGAAGATCTGGAATGCAAGACGGCCCGAGCATATAGGCCGGACGGTGCGGAAGATGCCTGCTTGCTAGGTCGCCGACCTATGCACCTCCACGCGTCCAGCCGCAAATAGGGGATGCAGATGTCTACGGATGCATTGGACCTGATTTCCAATTTACCACATGGCGCTGAGCTTGTGACATTGAGTTTGAGATTTCGAGTGCAAGCTGCAGCATTGACGCTGGCAGGGGAAAAAGGCTATCATGAGTTGCTCGCCTGCGTCTGCCGGCCCCCGGTATGTATGTATCTAAGAAACATAAGGCGCGGCTCTGCTACTGGAAGTACAGCCGAAATGAGGTGCCCATGTCCATGAGTTACTGTGACGTATGGAGCAACTTACTGTACCTTCTGAGTTTCCCGAATCTCGATCCTTTCCGAATCGTTCAAGGTTTGAATTGTGGCTCCAGCTCCTCCACCAAGCAGCTGCCTTTCGGTACGGGATCGACGCGCCCAAGGCTGTCACGTTTGAGCTTGGCTTCCGCCTACTTTTTGATGCAATGTTTGTGGTACGCAACGGGGGAACTGACCTTTAAGTGAGGCACTGATTCCATGCTGGGAAAAGCTTTTCTACGTTTTTGAGATGCAGCAGATACATAGCGTTGGAGTTTGGGGCTTGCCCGTGATTGTTCGCTCGGATCGGGGTTCGATGGAACGATTTCATTCGGGTGAGGCTTGAACAGAATACAGTTGCGAGAGGACCTGCTCATACACTTCCTTGTCGTGGCTTGAAAAGACACAGAAGCACGTCTGCTGTACCTTGTCTGATGAGGCAAGGAATCTGTCAACCGTTTCAATTGCGACTTCGGTGGCGTCTCGGATGGGATACCCATACACGCCTGCCGTCAGAGAATGGCCCAGATGAATAAATGTGAACCAGCACAAATTAAAGAAGCAAAGGATCTTTGCCTGCGATAGCATGTCATGCAGAAGATACACACCTGTCGATATCGAGGGAAAAGCAATGCTCTTGGCTCCGGCTTTCTCCGCTTCGGCCAAGCTGTTGCGATAAGCGTTAGCGAGCAGCTCTCGTGACTGTTCAGCCTTCGACTTGCTGTAAACAGGACCGACGGTGTGTAAGACAAGCTTTGCTGGGAGGTTGAAGCCTTGGGTCGTTCTCGCCTCCCCTGTCGGGCAGCGTGCCCCGCTGCTAGCATCGGCAGGATGCTTTTCGCACGCCTCGCGCAATTTAGGGCCAGCAGCGCGATGAATTGCGCCGTCAACTCCGCCGCCGCCAAGCATGCCCTCGTTTGCTGCGTTTACGATGGCATCGGCTGCCAGCTTGGTGATATCCCCTTCCCACAAGTACAGCCGGTCAGGATGCCGCAATTGATACCCTGACTTCTGCGTCGTCGGGGTGAGCTTACCCGACGCGAACAGATCGGCGACGCTCAGCAGTGAAGAAAGAGACGCCATAGTTATATTGGGCTGAGGTGTGTTCAAGCCTTCAGTGGCTCTCACGCTTTGATTGAACAGTAGAAATCTCGATATGTCCAAGCTGTCATTTGTCTGGAAAGCGTTGTGACATCTAATGCTGTCCCATCTGCATGCTCGAGGTCTGCCGTAATGACAACGACGATTCATAGCACACCACAGGCAACAACTTGATGTCGACAAAGTATCTATTCCTGAGAGTGTGTACACAATCCTGGTTCCACACATCTTCTTTGGTTCAGCGAGAGCAACTTCCTGATTTTGGGACTTTCGGAGTATTTGGGTTGTTGATTTTTGTACCAGGAGTTGTTGCTTCGTACCTTGTCTAAAGCTTCGAGCCAATTGTGTTCCACTTATAAGAAACGAAGCATCAACTGCTGCACAAGTTGCTTCCCGCCGCCTTCGCGATAGTCCATGCAATCTATGCTCATCGTACATTGCATTTATCACCTACAGCATAAGCGAATGAGACTATGGTCTCCTAGAGCTTGCTGTGTAGGTCATATTCGCAATCTACAAACGCGACCAATGCTGCATGCCCACCTCGCACTCGCAAGGAGGGAAGGGTTAGAAATCTATCACGGAGTCCTAAGCCGCGAATGGAACATGATCACAAAATACATCAAGGTTCCACCAATCCCTTAAAACAAGATATTGAATAAAATCATTTCCTCTAACTCCACCTTCCCTCCCTCCCCTCCCTCCCAATTCTGGGTCCTCTTTCATCCCTTTCCATTTCCCCCCGCACGAAGTATCCGCCCATTGGTGCACCCAGTCACTTTGCAAAACAGCTGAGAGTCAGTAGAGACGATCCGGAAAACCACGTTAGATGATCAACAACCTAGTCAGTGACATAATAGAATATTTTGCGCTTTGCTGATTACTCAAATTCTTAATGTAGAATGAGCACATTGCATGCATCGACGGCCGAGAGGCCTCGACGGGGGCAATCTCGGATCTACCATGATTTGGACCACGTACTTTTCACCTGCGAGCACCTTACATGGCCGGGGTTTGGCTTACTTGACTTTGACGATTAATGTTTGCATATTTGGGACTCCGTGGCAGGTGTACATATCAGCATTCCAGCGACCGTTCTCAAGAATCTCGCTCTGGGTCATGGCCTGTTTTCGAGCTTCAAGCTTGCCGGACAGCTGAACAACAAGGAAAGGTGTAACCCATTCCATCGCGATCGGTCTGCAGACCGGCGTTCTTATGTCTTCGCACATCAATATAGGACCTTCTTCGTCCCGAGTCCAGTAACAATGCGGCAAGCGTCTGCCAACAAAGCACAACCTTCAGAGTCGCTGTGGTGCGATGATTTCACAGAGCGCATGAGAAAGATCGCGTGTGAGAAGGAAGAGTTTTCCCGCAACCTCATGACATCTCAACATATTGTCTCGACCCAAACTCCAATCCTCTCACAAGGCCATCCATGATCCTGGATCCATCCCGAGGGCGAGACAATTCAGCAATCTCTCAATCAATAGATTAACGCCAACGTCAGAAATGAGCGATCCCTCGTCATTGTAAGTGACAGTAGCCACAGTACTGTGGAATTCGAGACCGAAGACTGAAGAAAGTCATCAATTCGACACCATCAAGGACATTGACCCCGGTCGAAATGTGACGATCTCCTTTTCTGGCCGATACTACATCACGTTGAAAGAACACATTGTTGGACTCGACTTGACCGCTGTGTTCAAGGAGAGTGCCTCAAAACTGGACGTCATATTCAGAGGGTGGACATTTGCAAGCTTGTCGCTAAAGACAACGCTCCATTCGCGCTGGTGCTCCGAGCGGTATCCGAGGATGATCGCTGTGCGCTGGAATGGCCAATATCGCCGGTGCCATGGAATGTCTTGTGCTGCTTTCCTCCCTCGGGTTCTCATGATAGAAGAACCGCGTGCTATATGGAATTTTGGCTGGATTTCTGAGTTGAGCCTCTGGGGTCCTTTCTTGAATAAGATTTCGAAAGTGGCACTGCCAGCCGGGGCTGGTATTCACCTGGTTGGGAACGGGCAGCTCTGCTGTACAGCAACTTTTAAAAGGTCCACAAACACCGTCAATTTTCACCTGGCCCAACTATTCTCTCGATTGGACCGATCAACGCAAGGTGGAGCGGCTTTAGTGGTCGTCGCGGTAGCCTGTCACACTCGTCACCTTTCCTCGATGCCTTTCCCATCAAATACCGCACGCCTACTACGCATGTCCTCGGATCCAAATTGTTGATGCCTGTTCTAAGCCATCAGAACATTTAGAACGTGCCCAGTAAGGCATGACAAGGCCTCAAGGAGCCCGAGCTACGTAATCCTAGAGCACCGGACGCCGAGTTCCCTTAGCCACAAGTCCCTCATATCTTTCACAATATACCGCTTTAGCCATGTGCGTCAAGGACAAGCATCAACCCGTACTGGATCTTGATCGACATTCGCAATGCTCGAGCAGTGAAGCTTCCAACACACCCTGATGCACGGAACACATCAGCACATCCGCGACATATTCCATTACAATAGCGCAGCTCGATCGAAGCTGATGTTCCCGGCTCCGTTCTCTCTCAAGCCTAATAACACTGCCCTTGCCGTGCAGGAGTCATTGTGGGCAGCAGCTTTCTCTGGCACTTTCACCAATTCAATATAAAGAATACAAAACGTTGGCCACCTACGATGATCTGGGCATGCAATTTCAGCATGTGGACAACATACGTAAGGTTATCCCTCTTCATGCTACAACATCTGGATTGAGACTCCGACCAGATAACGGTTACGAATTTGGCGAGAATCTAGTCTGTGCTGCGTCAAGTCCGGATCTGGAAGGCGAGTAGCACAGTCGCATCGGAGACAGTGTGTATCATCCCTGAATTATGGCATTTCATGTCACGATTTCTTCGATCATCTACATTGCACGAAGAACCCGCTGTACATTCTGCAACCAGTCACTCTCGCATCGCTTACACGCCATCATTCATAGGTTCAGCTCCAGTTGGATTATGGGATGCTTCTGGAAGTTTGGGTCGTAGGGAACTCTTTGATGTTTTTCAGCCTTCTAACACATAGCAAGTTCGAACCACTCCTATGGGGTTTGCAGGAGCTCGCACATGCGCAAGACTGACGTGAATTGAGCTGGGGGCGTGGAAATCGCCGGTTCCAGTCGCTAAGTGACCGTTGTCACTACGTTGTTGTCGGTCGACGTAGGGCAATTCTTTTGGCCTCTGCCAGATGCTCAAGTTCAAAGTTG